CAGGTCTACCAGCATTTGAAAAATAGTGGCAAATAGTTTGTTTGACCATTTTATCCTGTCAAATTTCAACTAGATTTTGAAACAAATCATTCACCAATATTTCTTCCTCATTATTTGGTTAGCTCAATAGCCAGCTGAACAATATTCATCAAATAAATTACTCACTTTTTCCCCATCAATCTGCAAATAATTTATTCACAAATACTTTCTACATGAGGCAGCCAGCTCTAGCCAGGACAAATCAAGGTAATTTCCTACTCTTTTGATCAAATGCCAGTAGGACTTTATCTTGGACAGCTCAATAGAGACAGGTTTTAATGCATAATACATAATGGGTAAGCTGAGATTTTCACATTTCTTTGTGAGTTCTCTGCTATTGCCCATATTTCTGTTCAGCTACTGAGAGAAGGGGGCATATATTTTCCATCCAGGTATGCTCAGAAGCATTTCACAAAACCGCCCATACAGTTTTGAGGGAGTAGGGCTCACATCAGCCACAACTGTGATGGGGCAGCCCCTTGGCTGGAACATGCAAGCTGTTTAATAGAGCAAGGCGAAATTTAGCAACTGTCGAGGAGAGGAAATGAAGGCGAGTACTCTGCCCACTCTGAAACACAATGGGAACCTAGAAGCAGAATGAAATCAAGCAACATGGAATTTGGCTGTCATGCTGTGGATAATGTCCCTAGCTCTTGAGAAAAGGGTCCTTGATGAGTAGGCAAGACACAAGATGGCACATCCCCACGTAGATGTCTCCAGGACAGTGTTCATGCTGTGGTTCCCTCTCCTCAGGGTTCTCACGCAAGCAGTTTGGAAGCCGCTCACAGTCCCCTTCTTGCCCTTACTGGCCATCGTATTGCTGGTGGAGCAGTTGAGCATGGCCTTATCTGCCTGTCTACTTATCCCTCTCTTGTGTTGTGGAAAGCTTATGGCTGCTACACACCAGCAGCAAGGGGCCTCATGTAGCTGAAGCAATGGGGCCAAAAGATTTCTCCCCCGCTTAAGGTTTGCCTTAACGATTCGTACTGCATGTGTGCAGCACTTTTGTAGCCTCTGCCCCTAAACAGGGTGCTGGATCCTTGTCAGGGTGGGTCCTTCCACCGTTGGCTGGAGATGTAGGGGACTTCTGAATGCTGTTTACCCTTTCACTCCCCGCTGCATGTGGCCTGCCACGCAGCCGTCTCGCCTTTGTCCTCTGCTGCTCAGGCAACGAGGTGGGGAGAACAAGGGTTGTTTATCCATGTTGGTCGAAAGAGAAAGTTTGCAAAAGCTAGCAAGTATATGTTGGAGGAGCGGTGCAAACAGGGAGTGGTTGCATGAGGGTTTCTTTAGGATTGGTGTGTGTTCATGTTCATGCACATATGTTCATGCATAATAATGTGTTTAGTATAACACTTCAATCTTGATCCTTCCCTGAGATTGTGTTGGCTAATCTGGTTACCCTCAAATGAGAGATGCTTGCAGCCTATGCATTATGCAGAAATCTAGGTATGAAGAAATGTAGGCAAACATTTCTGCAGCATCATCAATAAATGTGGTATCTACTCAATCAATATATGTGGTATCTACTCAGAACAACAACATGCTAAACACTGAAAGTCAAATGGAATGCCTTCCTGGGAAACAAGCGACTGACCACATATTTACTCTGCATCTCATAAATAAACATGGAGAAAGCACAAAAACAGAGGAAGATATTTGTCTCAACTTTATACTTGGAGAAAGCTTTTGACTCAGCCTGGCTCTCATAGCTGAACTGTACAAAATGGAATTGGCAAGGGGAAAAAATGACATAATCACATACATGTAACAATCCATTGAAAGTAGGACACACAAAAAAGAGAAAACAGGCTTTGAAGGAGAAGGTAGACTAACACAGCGGTCAGCTTCAGGCCTGTTCTTTCTGTCATCTATGCTGGCGATTTATCAGCCTCAGAGAAATGGTTCTCAAATTGAATGAGGGGTCTCAAACACCTGCTTAAATTGTCACAACACCACGAAATGTATTTTAACACACCCTGCTGCAGGGCCACATAGTGAGGAAGGATAAGCACCGGTGATGAATGGCAGAATAAAGATGCTCTCTTGGAAAACACAGATGCAGAAAGACTTGGGGATTCAACATGGGTAATGGACTCCACAAGCTTTTTGTGCAGTGTAGGCAGTTAATGGTCTAATTCCATTTTTAGCTACACAAGAAAGAGAAAACCAAGCGATGACTGGGAAATTATTCTTACTCTGTGCACAGCATGTGTGTATGGACCACAAAGACATTGTATCCAGAGTGGGTACCTGCGAGTCAAAAAGCACTTAGAAACGTTGGAGAGTCTGAAGAATGTTGCAGTGGCTGAAACTGAATCTTACAATGTGAGGCCTCAAAGAGAATGGTATATTCAGTTTAGCATGAAAATGGGGTGGGTGTTCAGTTTTTTAGACAAAGGCATAACAAGTTCTGATGTCTCGAAGTTGGAGAAATTCAACCTTGAAAGAAGTGATTTCTTAGCAGCAAGGATAATCAAAACATTGGAATAAACCAGTAGGTAGAGTAAGGCATTTGCCATTACTCGGAGTCTTTAAGATGAGTTGTCTTTCAAGCTCACTTGGATCCAGCTGCTGGGAAAAAACCCAATGGCTTCTGTATATGGGTCAGATTAATGGGTTAGAGTGGTCCCTTCTGTCTGTAAGTCTGACTATATGGGAGGGAAAGCGGTTCTTACTAAATACGAACTGAAAGAATGAGATTACACTTGTTAAGAATACCACACACCACAGCTCAGGATAGCAGAGGTTTACCTATTCTTTTCACCAGTGTAATTGACAGCACGTAGCAGCTGTGAAGTAGGTGCTGGTATCTGGCAGTTACAGTAAGGGCAACCGGGAGTTCCGAACTGGACAGTCATAAGGAGAATCTTTCCAAGGACATGATGAAAATCATCAAGTCACTGCTCTAACCTTTCAGCCCTGGAATTCAGGCCCTGGATCAGTGATCCCAAAGTAGCAATGGAGCACGGGAAATAGGGAGCACAGAGCGAACAGGGACTGGGGCTTGTGCGTACAGCAAACTTTGCATCCATGACTATATCCGTGTGTACGTATCAGGATCACTGCTGCAAGGCTTAAGAGGCGCAAGGAGATATATTTTCAGGACTAGCGTTTGATGAAGGATCAGCAGTTTAACCAGCGTGACGGACGCTGATCAGTAAGGGTGAGAGATCTCCTAACCTGTTTTCTGAATTTGACGTAAGGGACACGACTTGGTTTACAGAAGCGATGTTTTCTAGTGAAGGAAAAATGTGTTTGAATGCTGGCCAAAGGAGGAGGTGGAGCAGAATGATCGGAAACAGGCAGCAAGAACAAACAAGCATATGAGGGTATTGTAAACATAGATGAAGACAGTCTTGTTTTGTTGGGGCAGCCCCTTCTCAGTCATTCTTGTGGATTCAGCCCCATCTGCGGTTTGGGAGCTCGGAGAACTTCAGCGCGGACAGGACTAAGTCTCCCTGCAAAGAGATCTACTCTGTGCAGGAGCTCCACTAGTTGTGGTTGGAGGGTGAAAGTTTTCCTCATCAATTTTAGGAGGGTCTTGTTTCATTCCTATCAGGCAACACCCGCTCTACTGTAAAGCATTGCAGGATGAATATCAAAGTCCAAGCTAAAATCCAGTCTGATAATCATGCTGTTACGAACACAGCACACACTTCTTGCTAGTGGGAGCAAACAACCTCACCCAAGCCAAGGCATGCTCAAGACCAAGGTGCTCTGGAGACGCTAGAATAAAGCCTAAACCAGCCATTTTGTGCGGGAGCAGCAGCCCAAAACTGTGCACAGGCTCCGGAGATTCCCCACCCAGAGAAATGTGTAACACAGATCCAGCTCCATCGAAGAACAGAAGATCAGGTAGCCTGAAGGGAGCCTGGGCAGCCAACAGCAACACACACACACGAGGAGAGCACTGATTTTGCAGTTAACATGGTGAGGGGACTCAGACAGCAGATAACCGTCCGAGTTACTAGAGAGCAGGCCAGCGCCTCAGTTCTTTGTTTTTGCAAACAAACAGGAAATTAAATCCCCGAGCAAACAAAAATCTCTGTGAGCAGGCCTGGCAGTAAGGCAGCGGAGCGCTGGCATGAGTGCCACGCCGCAGCAGCCCCTTCCTGCGTTGAGCTGGAATGCTGGCAGGGGAAAAGAACCCCACTCCCAAAACAGGGCAGCGCTGCTCGTGGGGTGGCTGCCGGGCCGGGCACTGCCCCAGCTCTCCCACTCCTGACCGGGGCCGTGAGGGGAGCTCCGGAGAGAGCAGGCAGGCCCCGCTGCTGCCCGGTGCGCCCCGTGGAAGGGCAGGGGACACGAACGGGCCCACCCGGGGGTGGTTTGCGAGACTGTGCGTGATGTGGACATGAGAGGACCCCGCCGTTACGGCTGTGAAGGAGCCTCCGTGGTTAGGGGTGGGGTGGGGTGTGTGGGGGGGTTGCGCGTGGACCGGTAGGCAGCCCCCGACTGGGGTTTGTGCGTGGGTGGACAGGGGCGGGAGTGCTTCCCCCGCCGCGTTTGTGGGGTGGGTCTGCGTGCGGGGACCCCGCGCTGGGGGGGGGGGGGGGGCGTGCCTGTGGGGAAAGGGGGCATCAGCCGGCTCCCGCGCTGGGGGTACCCGCGTGGGCGAGGGCAGCGGACACGAGCAGATCCCACCCGGCAGCCGGGAAATGAGCGAGGGCACCGGCGCTCTCCTGGCCCCCCGCGTACGGGGCGGCCCACGGGAGGCGGGGGGTGTGTGTGTGTGGAATCGCCCTCCGCTCGGCCCCGCGCGGCGAGGGGCTCCCGACCCCGGCCGCTCTCCTCCCCTTTAAGGGGGTGGGGGCCGGGCCGGGCCGGACCCCCCGCGCCGCCCCCGCTACCTGCGGGCGGGGGCGCACGGGGGCGGGCGCTGGGGAAAGTTTGTCTCTGTGGTTGGCTGCGCCGCGCGGCGCGGCCGGTCGGGGCGGGCGGGCGGGCGGCTCCGTGTGCTGGCAGGGCAGCGGGAGGCTGAGCGGCCGGCCGAGGAGCGTGCTGCCGCCGGCGGCCCCCGCGCGAGGCGGTTCCCCCACCGGCTTCGCGTAGAGAGAGGCACCCGCGCGGTCCCACCAGCATGGGGCACCGCGGGGACAGGGCGTCCTGCCTGCCTCTCCTCCTCCTCCTCCTCCTCCTCCTCGGTGAGCTCGGGGGGGTGTGCGGCCGGGGGCGGCGGGGAGGGCGGCCGGGGGCGCCGGGCTGGGCTCGGCCACCTCGCTCGCAGGTAGTGAGGGAGGGCCGGGCCCGCGGTCGCGGGCCTCTCGGCGGGGAGGAGCCGCCCGAGGCGCGGCGGAGCCCCGCCGGGGCGCTGCCCGGCTCCGAGGGGCGGCGGGGGGGGGGGGCCGGGCAGCGCCGCCTTCGCCCTCTCCCGGCCCGCCCGCGGGCGTTAACGGCCGGCGCAGCCGTAACGGCTCCGCAGCCCCCTCGGCCCACCACCCCGGCGGGCTCCTTCCGAGGGCCGGGGCGCGGATTGCTGCCCGGCACCTCCCCGAAACTTTAAGGGGCCTCCTCGGAGTAGAGCCGGGGCGCGGGGGCCGCTGCGTGCCGTGGGTTCCCCCCGGGGAGCGGGGTCCCCGCGGGCGGGGCGACGTGACGGTGTAGCTGCTCTGACACGACCTGGTGCGTGGGCTGTTTGCAGTGAAACCTCGCCTCGACGGAGCGTGAAGTGACCCGTTCGGGGCGGGGGGGGGGGGGGGGGGCGAATCCTTCTCCTGCCTGTTCCACGCGAGAGGAGGGGGGCCACCCCCCGCCACCCCGTCCCCTGCCCCGCCGGCAGTCGAAGCCCGGGGTCTGCGGTCAGGCAGGGGCTGTGGGGGGAAGCGATCCGGCTCCTGCGCCCTCCCCTCGGGGCTCGCTGCCTCTGCCGTCCGGTTCTCCCGCTCAAGAGAGAACGAGCGATTGTGTAGGTGATGTTTTACGCCGTGTTCACATAATTGTGTAGCTGTCGTTGGCTTAACGGGTGGCATTGTTCCTTACCGGTGTCAATGCCAGGCAGGCAGCGTGCAGAAATAAAGACTGTAGAAAGATCTACACAAAAGGGTGGGGGGTGGTTGTTTCCCCCCCCCCTCCCTTTTTTTTTTTTTTATTTTCCTTCAACACTGGTCTTGTAGCATTGTTGCTAAAAGTGCTACTGAAGTAGCAAGTGAGTTCAACTAGAGAACAAGAAGATTGTTCAGCTAAGATAGTTATGTGTAGTCTTGAAGCGGTTCTGTGTAGTCAGAAGTGTTTTGGGTGCTGGTGAGCAAACCCCAGATATTACTATGGGCAGTTCTTGATTCTGAACACTTGACTAATTGTAGGTAGTAAGTGGGAGCCTTTTCCAGATCTGGGGTGGAAGGACTGAGTAACTATAACAGTGCACCAAACCCATGCTGCAACGCTCTTCTTTAAACAAAACTCTATTTGCTGACTTAGTTTATGCTTGTACTTTTGACATTGCTATGACTAATTCTTTTTTTAAAGTCTGCCAGAGCACTTTCTTTATGGTTTGGCTGTTGAATCTTTCATAGCCAGGTCTGCAGAGCAGATAGTTACAGTTGAAAAGTCAGCTTCCTAAACCTGGGCTTGTCCCAGTCTCTTTCCTGAGACTGCAGGCGGTGAGGCAATTGGGGCAAAAGGGTGTCTATCTACAAGTCGGGATCCTACCAGACAAAGGTGTCCACTGTGCTTTTTCTTACTTGCAGCTGAGGTTAGTCATCTCGTTTATCTTTACAACATAGGCATTCTGCCAGCTGGGGAAACAGTGAAGAACTAGAGAAGAGCACCTTTAGTGTTTTTGTTTAGCAACAGGGAACGAAATTTTTCAAGAGAGTGGTTTAGTAGGACAAGCAGAAAATCAGGACTTTTACATTATTCAAGGTCATGAAGTAAAAAGTAAAAACTATTAAGGACAATGTGCAACAGGAAAGTTGTTTCCTTCTTAATTTCAGACAAAATAATATAATGTGCAGATAACTGGCCACTGTTTATGATACGGTTTGTCTCTAGGTTCTGAGTTGCTTTTTGGAGTTTTTTTTTTTGTTTTTTTTGTTTTTTTTTTTAATTGGAATGGTGCTGTTAAAATTGAAAGTGCTTTTGTGTGCAGGAAAAAAAGCCCTAAACTTTTCAGCCTTACTTGTGATGCGTGTTGCGGTGTGGCTATCTTCTGATACCATTACTTGGTAGCTTCTATGAGATATTCCTAATGTTAAGAGGTTGGGAAGGTGGTGTTCCTCTTGCTCTGGATGGGAAAAGTAGAATTCTGTGAACATGTGCTTTCTAACAGCTCTTTAATAGAGAAACAGATTGGGGCTTTTTGTTAACTAATGTGCTGCAAGTGTTGAGGAATTATTGTGTAAGGGAGGTGGAGGGAAGGAGTTGAAGCATAGAAGGGTTCATCCCTTGCGTGTACTTAGACTTGATTGTTTCGTTCATATCTCTACGAAATAACCCAGCAAACGGATGCAAATGGCTGAAGTATTTGTCAGTGACAAATAAGAATGTTTTCTCATCCTTTTTCCTAGATCCACTACAGTTATATCTGTTTGGTAAGGAGACTGTGGATCCCGAGATCAAGACTTGATCCACTCTTTTCTCCTCTGTCTGGTATGGTTAGATCCTGAGAAGAGAGGGCAGCATGAGGGCATTTTGCACTGCCGTTGCCTGTTTTATGTGTGATTTCATTCTGCAGTCAATCTGCCTAATCAACCTGTGAAATGCTCTGGAAACCAAAACATCTCTCCTAGGACAAAGATGTGCAAAAATCAAAACAGGTATCTGGTGGTTACCAGGGCTCAGACTGTAAAGTAAACAGCCTTGCAGATCCTGGATATTATTTTTTTTTTTTTTTTTTCCCCTCCCTAGTTCTTGTTTGAGATTCAAGGTAAGCATTTCGGTGTATCTAAAAAAAGCTGTTTTGTTTAAGTGCTATGGGGCTTGAGGAGAGCAGGCACTCAGTAGATCCTGGGGGAAACCCATTGATGATGGGTTTCCCAGAGACAGCCTTTTTCTTACTACCATTTAGACCTCTGTGACACTTGCTGTCCGCTCTGATGAAAGTCAGTTCCAGCATGCCAGATCCCCAGGAGCCTTGTGTATACATGAATAGAGTTGTTTCCTGCAACACGTACTTGATTTTTTTTTTTCCCCCCCCCCCCCCTCTTTTCCTTAGAAGCTACAACAATTAGTCATTTGTATCAAGTTTTAATTCAAGCTCTGCAACAGAAAGCTTTTGGTAATTAGTATAAGTTATTGTGATTATGAACTTGAAGGAAGAGCATGCTTTAATCTTTCCCTGCATTTGCAGGGAAAAGCATTAGAAAATGGGAGCGCCTCAAGGTTTAGGGCAGGGAGACAATGTAAGGATGATTGCCCACGAAGTGTTCAAGGTGTGTTAGAGTGGAATCTGCTTCCTGTTCCCTTGCTGGTGCCTGCTTGCCAGCTGGTGAGCCCAGAGCGGGTGCTGGTGGCCTTTGCTGCCTGCTGGTGAAGAAGGCGGGCTCAGATCCTCCCTGGTACTTGGAGAAGATGCTGACAGCTAGGCCTGCGTATCTCTGTTGTAGCTGTAGAGGTGGTTAAAAAGGCTCCCAAAGGGGAAATACCGACAAGCCTGTCCTGGTCTTGGCAGCTGCAGACTGCTAAGGCAGTAGAAGCACGTAGTGAGTGTTGGAACTGGGTCGGTGAGGCACTGAAGGGCAGGTGGTGGTGCTGAGGAGGAAGAGCTTTCTGTGTGGTTTTGCCATGCCGATGTGTTTTCTTAGTATGTAGGCTGTGGGAAGATGTGGGAATCAAAGGGTGAGCAGCATGCTGACTGTATTTTCCTTTACATCCTGTGTTCTTTTGGGTTGGCAAATGATAGCTTAGTCACCTTTTCAGGTTGTCTTGTGTCTTTGTAGGTTCCTGTCCAGGGCTTCTTTTTAGGGAGTCCATGTGCTTTTTTCTGAAATTCTTCAACCCTGTTCTCCAGTTTTCTTGATTGCTACATTTCAACGTAGCAACAGCTTGCTCTCTTTAGGTAGCCTCTGTTGTATTTGGCTCTAATCCCTGAATTGAGGTATAAACCTGCCTGAACAAGATTTGAAGTAAACAGTAGGGGTCATTTAAAAATGCAGCCACATGCTTGATTAGAGGGGAATGTACTTAAGAAATAATATCTATCTGTCTGGCTATATAAACAAACATTGAGGGACATTTGAGATTTTAATTTTCACATCTAATAAATTTATGTGTTGATTTGTTTCTGTGTGGTGGTTGGTTGTTGTTGGCTTGTTTTTTTTTTTTTTTTTTCCGGTCTCCATAATCATTGTCAAACACCTGCAAAACAGACCTGTATATTTTTTTTTTTTTTTTAGTAGGGAAATGGTTACATATCTCAGTAAGGTACTTTGAGAAAGTGGACATTTCAATTGTCTGGTTTTAGATCTTTTTCACTGATGTATTTTTATTTTTGTGTGGAGTTCTGTGTTTCAGAAGGAAGGCTAAATGGACACATTACCTGAAAATGTGAATTTTTTCTGATTATGTATAGAAATCAATCACTTGAAAGTTAAGTTGGAAAAAACTTGAGAAGGATATTACTGACACAAGCTGGGCCAAAGTAGTGATTATGTCAGTGTCTATTAAGGTTTCTAGTAGTTTTGAAAGAAAGACAGATATTAGATGGAGTATAAAGTAAGAATCTGTATCGTAATGTAAAAAAAAAAGAAATCTTTTTAATACTTTGCTTTTGACTTTTATTGGAGATGTTGCTGTTACTTCCCAGGCCCCTGCTAGATGTCCTGTTTTCTTAGAAGATCTGCAGTAGTAAGTGATAAAGTCTGTTTTCTAGAGACCTGTAAGGTGAAATTGTCTAGGGATACCGATGGTTCGATTTCTGTCCAAGAATAATAAGCAGTTTTCTGCATGACCCTAATTCCTAAACTGAGCAAGGTACCCCAAAAGTGGATCGAACAAGACAGGGAGAGATTGTAACATAAGCAGATTTTGTCTGGGTTGTTAGTATCTTGTGCCCTAAAGAAGGAATGAGCTTGTATCAATGATACACTAAGTTTTCCAGTTGTCCATTTTTTTGTTAGTTGATTCTTTAGAAAACCTCATATTGTAGCTTTCTTCCAAGGCTTGAATACCAACTGAGAAGGGCTTTAAAAATAATGAGATGATCTTT